TGTCTATGCGGCTCCTTTTTGCGCAAAACCCCCCTCTTGCGCAAGAGCCATTCTTCCTGAAAAAAATGCAGAACAACAGCTCTTGCACAAGAGGGGGATTTTGTGCAAAAAGGAGCCGGGGAGACAGCTTCCTTTTGCACAAAAGCCTCTTGTGCCAAAACGGAGCCGCATTAATTATGCAAATGAGGCGTGGCGATATGCCACACTTAGCCTCATTTGCAGATTTTTTGGACAAAACGGGAGTAGTGTAGACACAGCTTGAGTGTGTCCCAGACGTCTGTGTATTTATCCTCACAGCACCACTGTGACGTAGGGAAATGCTGCTATCCCCATTTTAACCTTGAGGCACAGATAGATTAAATGTCTGCCTCAAGGTCACACAGCAGGAAACGGAATCCTCTCCCTGGTCCTAACCTTCCTCTATCTGATAGCAGCTAAACGCTCTATATCAGGGGCTTTATTGTGCAAGGTACTGCCACAGTCTGCATCATGGGCATTCTCAGGCTACGGCGACACTATGACTTTTGCCGGAAGAGGTAATGCAAATGAAGCGCAGATAAGCATTTTCTTGTGCTTCATTTGCATAATCTCTTCCAATCCATTTTTGCGCAAAACCAAGCAGTGTGGACATTTCCTTTTTGCACAAGATTGGAAGAAATTATGCAAATGAAACATGAGAAAATGCTAATCCACGCTTCATTTGCATTGCCTCTTCCGGCAAAAGCCGTAGTTTAGCCATAGACTCAGTGATGTCCTGGAGGGTGCGCAGGGTTTTAGTCAGCACAGGACACCCCTTCCTTTCCCCCACTGTTTTACCTTGAAATCCCAAATCTTCTAGTGAAACGCATTCTGTAGGTTCCGTCTGGCTTGCAAACTCAGAACCTGGCCAGAATTCTGGGTTTGCCACCAGAAAGGTGTTTAGCTAGCAGGATGTTGGGGGCAGGGAGGAGAGCATTTCTGCGCAGGTAAAATGGTCGAGAGCACGAATCTGTGTAGTGTTTTCAGTAGAAACCGTATACCCAGCCCTTCTCAAATACAATGGGAATAAGTTACCTAGGGAGGGGGTGAAATCTCCATCCCTAGAGGTTTCTAAGTGCTGGCTTGACAAAGCCCTGGCTGGGATGATTGAAAAGAGGAGACTAAGGGGGATATGATAGAGGTCTATAAAATCATAACTGGTGTGGAAAAAGTGAATAAAGAAAAGTGATTTACTTATTCCCACAATATAAGAACTAGAGGTCACCAAATGAAATTAATAGGCAGATGGTTTAAAACGTTTTTAAAGGAACGTTTTTGAAGGAAGCTTTTCTTCACTCAGCACACAGTCAACCTGTGGAACTCCTTGCCAGAGGATGCTGTGAAGGCTAGAACTTTAACAGGGTTCAAAAAAGAGCTAGATAGATTCATGGAGGTTATTAGCCAGGATGGATAGGAATGGTATCCCTAGCCTCTGTTTCTCTGGTGGTGGGTGATTGGGGAGGGATCACATGAGGATTGCCTGCTGTGATCCCTCCCTCTGGGGCATCTGGTATTGGCCACTGTTGGCAGACAGGACCCTGGGCTAGATGGACCTTTGGTCTGACCCAGTATGGCCATTCGTATGTTCTTCTGATTTAGTGGGGGTAGGTGCTGCTTTGGGCAGGCGGTTGGACTTGATGACCTCCTGAGGTCTCTTTTAGCCTTATGATTCTATGAAAGCATGCAAGAAAACCCTGTAAGTAGTATGTTTAATTTTTTTGTGAATTGTGCCCTTCCACTTATAAAATCCCGTGTTTGTTGATGAGTCATGAGGCGTCTGCAGACATTTTGTAGAATGCACATATTTAAAATATTTCCACAGCTTTTTTTCCCCCGTGGGTGCCAGTTCATTACCAATTGCATGCTCTTTAGTGGCCTTTGTGAAAGGAACCAGGTGGTCTCACCTGTTTCTTATGGGCAAATATTTCCCCTGTAATTGACGGCAGTCAGCAGACCTGCAGGACCAAGGACTGAATGGGTCACAGAGAATGAACTAACTTTTCATTCCGCAATATAGTCTGGCCAGGTCCGCTTTGAACCACATAGTCAACGGGACAAACAGCAACTTGTGTTGCTCTGTGTTATACCTGTTCTGAGTAGGAGTTTTCACTCTCCAAAACTTCCAGCTGATGGGAGCAGCAAATTCACACACATTGTTGCAAACATAATCGTAACAAAGTTAAGTGTAATTCATGCATGACCTTGTAGTGATTTACAATGGAGAGCCAATGTTGGGTCCAGATGGGCGTTCCAACCTCGCAGCTTAACTACTGTTTTATAATTGCAGTCAAAATTTCCCTTGTTTAAATCATAAACATTATGTTCCATACTGAATACTTCACTGTAAACTGTGCACAGAACATGCTGAACTAAATAGGGCTTCTATTGCAATGAATATTACAACCTCTTAAATGATTAGGACACCTGTTGACATTAATATAGACGTGCACGTGGAAATAAATGTGCCGCACATTGAAATATATGTACACAAATATTTAGAGGATTAGAGAAATTGCTAAAATGGAGAGAGCTGCATTTAACATGACCATGTGTAGAATCGAGGCTGAAATGGAAATAACATGCATGGAGCGGATCGCTTATCAGATGTTATGGTTTTGTTTTTAGTGGGTTTTCTTAATGCACAGACTTTTCTGCCCCAAGTGAACTTAACAGTCATGGATTTATATATTAAGTAGCCTATTTTAAATGTAACTTTGTTTGGACTCTGCTTCTGATTCATAACCACCTTCATTTAGTAGCTGGCACCTTTCTCATGCAAGCTGAAAAAGAAAGTAATTAAATTTAATAGAAGCCACCTTTGCTTTGAAGCTGCCCTAGATTTAAAGCCACGGAGAGAAGCAATTAAGCTGCAACCACCATGGATTCTCAACTAAGTTATATGGGAATTTTTGTTAATAGGAAATTTTCACTGTAACTGGGACTGGGTTGTCAGACCTGATTGTGCTCAGTACATTCCAAAATTAATGATAGAAACCTTCCTCGGGAAACCTTTTCTTGAATCAAAAATACAATTTAAAAGAAAGAAAAAAGAAAAAAAATTGGTGTAAAGTGGGGTCAGATGTCACAAACAAGATATTTCAAAACTTTTAGAGCATTCCTCCTGGAATGTGCAGTGCTTATAAAGGCTAAGAAGGGAAGAAGAAAGTTTGTTTGCAAGCATGTTTATCTGCCAACATCACAATAGGAAGGGTGCTTTTTTTCGCCAATGGAAAGTATTAGAAACTTCATTTAAAGACAACCAGTTTTCTGAAAAGAGCAAAATCTGCAGAAATGACCTATTTGTTTTTCACTTCCATGATTTTTTTCACAGGTAAGGTAGAGCTTTGAAACTAAGTAACAAGGACTGACAAGAAACAGAATGCCATAACCAGTACCAAATGCAGCCCCGTTCCATTTCAAAATAATATTTTAAGAGTTCAGCTTGTAGGTTTGAAAAGAAGTAAGTGAAAGGTTCTACTTTGGGTGGGGAGACTGTCCAGAAATCAAGCAAGCAAAATGCAGTGAGCTCCTACACAAGAGTGAAGTTGTTCTCATCGTTGACAGCTGTCGGCAATATTTGCAGATTATTAGTTAAGGTGTGGGTGCATGTGAGAGGTTTAATTATTTTCAAGCAGGCACTTTGCAAGCAGGTTCAGGAGTGATTCTTAAATAGCCCACAGTCCATAAATGAGTCCATATGGAGTTTATGAAAAAAAGCTCGTAAACTGTGTATTCATAATAGAACATTTCTTACACTGTTACCAGCCATGGGAGAAAAGCTGGTAGGAATAATACAGGTGGAGGGAAAAAAAGCATCGAGTGTTAGTTGTCGACGAGGCATTATGAACATCTGTGCTTTGGTGTAAACAGTTGATTATTTTTATTTGTCTTTGGTAGCACTTAGAGGCTCCCTTCAGGGCTAGGTCAAATCATGATGTGCCTTTCTGTAAGAGATGCTCAAGTCAAACACAAATTATTGGCCTCATTAACAGGGGTCCTACAATTGACAGGTACTTCTGCTGTTATATATATTGGTTTCTGTTATTTCCACTCCAATTCATCTGATGAAGTGGGGTTTACCCATGAAAGCTCATTACTCTAAATATATTTTTGTGAGTCTCTAAGGAGCCACGGGACTATTCACTGTTTTTAAAGTTACAGACTAACATGGCTACCTCTCTGAGGGTATGTCTATACTACCACCCTAGTTCGAACTAGGGTGGTAATGTAGGCAACAAGGAGTAACTAGGAAGCCTAGTCCGAACTACCTAGTCCATGCCGCATGTAGCCACGCGGCACGGAGTCCGCACTAGCGGACATTTAAAAATGGCGGCGCCCGGCGAGATGCAAATGAAGCCCGGGAAATTCAAATCCCGGGCTTCATTTGCAACTCCGGTTGCCTACATTACCACCCTAGTTCGAACTAGGGTGGTAGTGTAGACATACCCTGAGACAAATTATTGGGTGCAGTAAAGGGTTAAGTGGCTGAAATTTGCTGACCTCTCTTGTGTAATGGTCCTGTACATCCTGATACTCTGTGAATCTAAGGCCATATCTTCACTAGGGGGAAGATCGACGCTGCCACAATCAATCTTCCAGAGATCGATTTAGCGGGTCTGGTAAAGGCCTGCTAAATCAAACTCAGAGGGCACCCCCATCAGCGACCAGTACTCCTGCTCTTTCAAGGAGTAAGAGAAGTCAACAGGAGCATTTGCTCCCATCAGCCTCCCAGGGTAGGGACAATGCAGAAACTCAAAATAAGGTACGTCGACTCCAGCTACGTAATTCATGTAGCTGGGGTTGCGTATGTTAATTCGACCTTCCCCATTAGTTTATACCATGGCCTCAGAATCTAAGCAAGCCATTTTTTCAGGGATGTATCTGAGACCAGCAAGCAGGTTTGTGTGGCTCTGACTCAACCGAGTCTTCAGTAAAACCATTATTACTTCATTGGTCCATTGTGAAGTATACGAGGGCAGAAACGGCAAATTCCTCAAAAAACTGCTTTGGTGTTAGTAGCATAAGAGCTTTGTTGATAACGCGGGGGAATGAGAGGGCTCTGCCATATATGACATCAGCAATCTAGAACATTTATGATCCAACATTCTGCTTGCAATTAGACCTCCCCAACGCAGTGTTCAGGCAGGCAGCAAATCCTTCAAAGAATGTTTGACCCCAAACTTTTAGATATCCCAGCTGTGATCTTTGACAATGGGTCTGGACTGTGCAAAGCGGGTATTGCCGGGGACAGCGCTCCCCGGTCGGTTATTACAGCTATTGTGGGCCGCTCGAAAGCCAAAGCGACAATGCTAGGAGCGGGCCAGAAGGAATATTACGTGGGAGAAGAAGCCCAGTCCAAGAGGGGAGTCTTATCATTGAATTATCCAATCGACCATGGCATCGTTACCTCCTGGGATGACATGGAGAGGATCTGGAGGCACGTCTATGAGTGTGAGCTGAGAATCAAAGCCAGCGACAGGCCGGTGCTACTGACAGAAGCCCCACTCAATCCCCTGCAGAACCGGGAAAAAATGACCGAGATCATGTTTGAAGGCTTTAAGGTGCCTGCCATGTATGTTGCTGTCCAGGCGACGCTGGCTCTCTACGCATCCGCACGCACAACGGGGATAGTGATGGACAGTGGCGATGGAGTTACCCACACGGTCCCCATCTATGAAGGATACTGTTTACCCCATGCTGTTTCCAGACTGGACATCGCAGGCAGGGATATCACGGAATACTTCATGAGACTCCTTTTGGAAAGTGGGCACTCCTTTGTAAGCACAGCTGAGAGGGAGATTGTGAAAGACATCAAGGAGAAGCTGTGCTACGTGGCTCTAGATCCCATCCAAGAAATGAAAGCAAAGCCGGAAGAAATCCTCAAAGAATACAAACTGCCGGATGGAAATATCATTAAGATCGGCAACCAGCTCTTTCGAGCCCCGGAGACCCTTTTTATGCCAGCCAACATTGGCATCGAAGCCCCCGGGGTGCACAAAATGATCTTCAACAGCGTCATGAAATGTGACATTGACGTTCGCAGGAATCTTTATGGCAACGTGCTGCTTTCCGGGGGGTCCACCCTCTTTCCGGGGCTGGATGAGCGGATCCTGAGGGAGATGCAGCGGCAGGTGCCCATCGGGATGGCCGTACGCATCATAGCCCCGCCTGAGAGGAAGTACTGTGTGTGGATCGGCGCGTCCATCCTCACTTGCTTGTCATCTTTTAAACAGATGTGGGTCACCGTCAGCGATTACAAAGAGTTTGGGGCAGCCGTCGTGCACAGGAAATGCTTTTAGGGCGGGATTACAGAAGGGAATCGTTGGTGCTCCAGAAAATGTGACCAAGGTGGGAACGTGATGATGCTACAGCTGCTAGTGTATTTATTGTCTGACCAAACATTAAAGAAAATAAAACATTAGAAACGTACCATCCACTTCAGAATGGCTGTTAGTCTTATTTTCCTGTCGCCTCCCCTACCTTCTCCTTGCTCCCATGTCTGCACAGCCTTGCTCTCACCTCTCATCTTTCTGGTTTTGACTCAGGATAAGCTGGGACTCCTTTCAGAGACATGGTTGCTGTTCCTTAGCAAGCCAGAAGGGGGAGGGAGAGCGGTAGCCCCAAAATGCATGTCCTCCTGCCACCCAGAGAGAAAAAAAATCAAAACCAGACTTGGAGTCATGTAAGACTGAGCCCTTTCCACCTGATGGAGCAACATAAAGCAGTGCTGGAGAGTCCTGGGGCCAGCGTGGAAAGCTTATGTTGTGATATCTGTGGTGTCATGATCCAGTTTATGGCAAACAAAGGTGATGCCCTGAAAGGATCGTTGCAATGGAAGTTCTGCTTTCCGCGTCTTTTGTGTATTGCTGCTTCATCCTGCAAAGATTGAGCTGGATGGGAATAGCCCCTTCCCTGACATTACTCATACGCATATGCATCTACAGGATGAGGCCTTTAACTGCTCCAGAAAGCAAAATACCTGAGCTTTCTCCTACGCTGTCCTGCACTTCAGGGTGGAGCTCCCGGTCAAATTTATCTGTGAAATGACCTCATTCTCCTCCTTCCTTAAGACTCTCCTTTGCCTCGTTGTCTACCAAAATCTTAACGGGGTTGGGCCACTGGTACTACTGCCTGTTGTGCTGAGTAATATCGTTTCATTGTGTACTCCCCATGTTCCCCACTGGCCGTCCATCTGCATCCATCTGTTGTCTCCTGTCTCCTGCTTAGATTGGAAGTTCTTTGGGACAGGGATCTCCTTTTCGTTCTACACTTGTACAGCGTTTGGTACAAATGGGTCTTGGGCCTGGCCTAAGGTGCCTCGGTGCTGTGGTAAAACCAATGAGTGGGATTCCTGAATGTTTTATTGAATTATTTAATTCCAAGAGAAGCCTATCTTTTCAGCACACATAAAGGCAAGTTTCTTTCCACTGTATTAGTTCAGAATAGCACTAATAACCCCTCAGTCAGGGATTACACAGGTGGTCCATGGGCCAAATCTGGACTGCTGGACACTTTTGAATGGGCCCCAAAAGATGTTTATTTAATTATCATCATCATCATTATTTGTTTTTTTACTATTATTATTTTCTCTCAAGCCTGGACCTTGACTATACCTTGACCAAGAAATGTGGATCTTGACAAATATAATAGATTCACTTTGCAACAGATCATTTCAGACAGCAATTGAGTTTCTGGGTTCAAGATCCCAGAGGTGGGTTTACTTGCTGGTACATGGACACTTAGGCTCTGAGATTCATCTTGGGGGAAGGGGTTTTTGTCAAGCAGACACAGTCTAAGTCTACAGTCTTAGACTCTGGAGCCAGGGTGGTTTTTGGAGCCTGAGCTCCATGGCGGCAGTTATTTTTAGAGCGAGAGCCCGAGTGCCAGCTTGAGCCCAGATGTGTCCACAGCTATTTATAGTACTGTAGGGTGAGCCCATGTCTGTAGAGCCAGGCTCTGAGACTTGCTGCTGGGGGGGCGGGGGAGGCTGTTTGTTTTGTGTTGTTTCTCACAGTGGAGACATACCCTTAAAGCCTTCTCCCCCAGAAGGTACAATCACCCCAGATTTGCTGTCCTTCCTCTTCGGTGACCACTCAGTACACTGTTCCACTCACCACTGCGCCCAAGGAAGGCTTTCGGGATCACCGGCCTTAGTGCCCCAGACTGGGTAGCAGACATTTCACTAGGGGGCGCCAGAACAGCAGCTGGAAGAGAGGAGAATTTCTTCAAGAACAAGGATTGTTCTTCACTGTAACGTACGTAAATCGACTGGACGTAGTCACCCTTAGGTGAAGCAGGATGATAAGCTAGTGCCACGTTCTCTGTCAGCTTCAGAACTCAGCTGTCAAAACTGAGCTGTTTAGGTGAGTGGGGGGCATTGGCAATGCCTGATCTAAGCAACCGGAAAACGAGCCATCCAGCTCATTCAAAATGAACACCAATGCACATAAATGTCTCTAGGTTAAAAATAGCACATTGCTCTCTGCTTTACTGCAGTTCACATCCTTCATGGTCCGCTGGCAAAAAAAAAGCATATTTAACTTTCTTAATAATTTCTTGGTACAAATGACTAGGTGAATTAGCATACTTAAAGACCTGAACATACCTGTTTCAGTTGCAGTGGCCACCAAACAATCATGATCTAGCTCATCCATTGTTATGTGTGCAGGACTAAGCCCTGAAAATGTCTTGCTTGCCACCACCTGAGTGGGGATAAAAATCCTGAATCCTGGTCGAAGTGAGGAGCATCATTCCTAGACTTTGGAGGCTAGCAAAGCTCGTCATCTTGCAAAACTGAGAAGATATGGTTGGAAGATGCATCCTTAAACCTTCGCCAATAAGTTCCCCAGAAGCAGCCTTTCCAGAAACTATTTAAGGTCTAGGGAGAAAGCTGGAATGATGTTTAATCCCCAAATGTTAGATGTGCCAGCTGTGATTTTTGACAATGGATCAGGGCTGTGTAAAGCTGGTCTGTCAGGAGAAATTGGTCCAAGATACATCATTCCTACAGTCATAGGCCACCATACCACAAAGCTGCCACTTTTAGGAATGGCTCCGAAGATGTGCCATGTGGGAGAAGAAGCCCAGCACAAACGGGATGTGTTGTCTTTGAAGTATCCCATTGAACGGGGTATAATTACATCTTACGATGATATGGAGAAGATCTGGAAGCACATTTATGAGCACGAACTGGGACTGAAAGCCTTTGAGAGGCCTGTGCTAATGACTGAGACCTCTCTGAACCCAACGGAGAGCCGAAAAAAAATAACTCAGCTGATGTTTGAATGGTTCAAGGTGCCGGCTTTCTACTTGTCTGTCCAAGCCATTTTGACCCTCTATGCCTCAGCCCGTATTGCAGGATTGGTGATAGACAGTGGACATGGTGTTACCCAGACGGTACCAGTCTACGAAGGGTACTATTTACCCCATGCTGTCTCCCGGCTAGATATTGCAGGCAGAGATATCACGGAGTTCCTCACCAAGCTCCTTGTGGAAAGTGGGCACCGCTTTGGAAGCCTTGCTGAGAAGCAGGGGGTCATAGAAGACATCAAGGAAAAGTTGTGTTACCTGGCTGCAGACCCACACAGAGAATTAGCCAAGCGGCCGGAGGAGATCCTGAAAGAATATAAACTGCCTGACGGGACTCTGGTCAGTATCGGCAGCCCACTCTTTCAAGCACCAGAGATCCTCTTTGCGTCAGGTTGCTCTGGTAATAACGCCCCAGGCCTTCATCGGATGATCGCTCAGAGCGTCACCAAGTGTGACACCAGTATTCACAACACTCTCTATGGGAACATGGTGCTGTCGGGTGGTTCATCCCTCTTACACGGGCTGGATGAGAGGATTTTTAAAGGGCTAGAACATCAGGTCCCCAAAGGGGTCCCTATAAAGATCATAGCACCCACCGACAGGTGGTTTTCCACATGGATCGGGGCTTCTGTGATTACTTCCTTGACCAGCTTCAAGCAAATGTGGATCACTGCTGCTGATTACAAGGATTTTGGACCAAACATTGTCCAAAGAAGATGTTTTTAAAAGGGCTTAGGTAAATCTAGCCAGCATCCATTCAGGACAGTGGCAAATTCTTGCATTTGCTTGTTAAAAGGAAGGAATAAACACCTTGGATAGACATTTGGCTTTTACAATTTGTGTACTTGGCTTCAGAGTCATGGAAATTAGAGAAGAGACCTCTTCTCTGTTCAGTTCCATGCCAGTACAATGCAGTTCCCTTTATTAAAGACCTCTTGTTCAGGAATTCAAAATAATCTGCTCAAATGATGCTTACTGGTGTTAATTGTAACGCTTCTATCTAGCCCCCTCCCTGCGTCTGACATTGGCCGGAACCAGAGTGCACAGAACAGGGCTGTTCCGAAGTGACCCACCCTTGTTTTCCCCTCCCACAAATGCTGTGCCAAGCCCCTCCCACTTACTTAATAACAGTAAATCCTATGTATGACATTTTGGCCTGCGCCTCTAAACTCTTGTCTCCATTACACGGTAGATTGATGCGGTAGTGAGTGATCCACCGGTTGTTGATTTATTGCATCTGCTTAGACACAATAAATTTCCCTCCGGGCACTCTCCCGTTGACCCCCATACTCCACCCAGGACAAAAAGAGTAGGTGGAGTCAACGGGAGAGCTACCCCCACTGACCTTATCACATGGAAGACACCATGGTACGTACGTCAACGTCAGCGACGCAAATAGTGTATCTTAGAGCAATGGAGCAGGAAGCTGTAGTGCAGACCAGGCCTAAGAGACTCAGTAGCCCAGGCCAAGGCAGCTATACAGTCAGCTTGTCCTGATCACACGCTGCTCTGTGGACTGGAGAGGCCCTGGCATCATTTAGGCAGTTCGGGATCTCTGTAGGACTGCGTGTTGTAGCTCCATTCCGTGCCAGGTTGCGAGGGGGCCCTCAGAGTTCAGCTGCCTGCTCCGGGGGGGAATGCTCCACGCCTAGAGCTTTTCACACCCAGGGTAAAACCGCAGAGCAGGGGATAAGCGTCTCCCCCTGGGTTTTTATGGGTACGGTCACCATGTGTGGGCTTGATCCAAAGGCCGCTGATGTCACAAAGAGTCTTTCCATGTAGGCCTTTGCATCGGCCATGAGGTCCGTCTGTCCGTCCGTCCGTCTGTCTTTTAGGTCTCAGAGATGCATCTGGGCAGAGGAGGAAGCGAAATGAGGGTATCATAAACATGTACCATACAAGGCTTGTTCCCACATAGCCTCAGTTCCAGCATGGTAGTGCCCCAGGAAGCCCTGGGAAGCTTGGACGCTCATTTCCGATGGTTCCAAACACCGGAAGGTCCAAAACTTGGGATAAACTTGTCGCTGAGAAAAGGGACTGGAGCTCTCCGAGGGGGGGTCATGCTCTTGGCAGCATTTCTAATCATTTCTTGGTTTAAATCAACTCTAAAATGTCAACATCTCTGCTGAGGCCAGGGATTGTCGAGGGGCATTTTTCTTGGAATAACCCACCCCAACTAACCAATTTTGGCACTGCAATATGACTTAGCTGAGCTTGGTTTCTGTAGTAGCCAGACCGGTTGACACTCCTTAGCATTATTTGCCCACAGCGGCCTGTGGAAATGGCCAGCTGACTAGCCACGGTGCAGCCTTCAAACAACCCATCCCCACTCGACAAACTGAATTGCAAAGTGATGTCATGTCAGAAGAGCACACAGAGGCCTTTTTCCCTCCTGTTTTTACATCACTGCTCTTTTGTGATGTTATCCATCCAATGACTGAAGAGTGATTAAAAAGATACACTCGTGTTCACAGGCCTGCCATGGACACTTCTGCAGCATTATAAATGTTCCAGACCTGGCTCTGAGATCACTGACATTGGTTTTAAGTGGGCACAATTCCAGACCTCGGCAGATTTACAGTAGAGGAAGTGAGATCGGTTTTCACACACTATGTTTGTGAGAAGCACAATGAATTCGAGTGAGCTGGTCAGGATTTTGGGTTGGCCACCTGGGTCGGCAAAGGTTCTAGACTCAGGTTGCGCATTGAAAGAAATGTGACTCAGTATCTTCCTATCTATGTTACTGCAGGTGGCACCTCCCTGGTCCGGCACGGTCAGGACCTGAACGGTCCCAAACCATGGAGTTTGCCCGCTCAGGGAAGATCAAGGCTCCTGTCTCAGGCCCTGCTGCCTCCAGTCCAGGCAGGACTGTGCTCCCTGCCCCTGCCAGCCAGGGCTGCACTCCCGGATGCTAGCCCCACTGTCTTCAGCCTGGGCGCAGCTGTACTCCCCACTGTCAACCCAGCTTCTGAACCTGGCCAGCCAGGGCTCTCTGGTCCAGCAATATCCATGGTCCTGCTAGACCCTGGATGTTGCCGGACCAGAAAGTCCCAGAGTTTAGAGGTTTAACCTGTGGAAGATTTACCAGGGGCTGCTCGGGTCCTTAACTCAAATACATTTTGTTTTTCTTTATTTAAATCATTGTTCTGGTGAGGAGGGGTGCATTAGGCAGGCTGTCCCGGGGAGAAATGACAACACCAGCCCTCTTGCACCACAGCAGTTTGGGGACAGGTGAGACACACCTCTCTGTGGCCACTGCACCTGCAGCGGGCACAGCCGAAGGAGGCTGCATGTCCCCCAGCCAGAGGACAGAGACACACAGACAGACACTCAAACAGACAAACTCTCTGAAATATACAGTAGCTGGCTGTCCCTTTCTTCACCCTTGCCCCCTGCTGACCCAATGAGGTTATAGCTGTCCTGGCCCCCATCTCTGACTCCTTGCTGCCTCTCTGTGTTCATTCTGTAGTATAACTCCCTCCTACCAGACCCCTCCCTTTATGAGAAACAGTCAAATTCCAGGCACATCCCATTACTCTGACAGAATCAAACCCCGACCTTGCTTTTAAGTTATGATTGGAGGAAGCTGCCTACCGAATTTGATGGCCCTAACTCTTACTGTTTAGGCGGAGTTCTTGAACAAACGAACTCACAGACAGATGGACAGACAGACAAGCAGACGCCCATTTCTAAAATATATAGTAAGATTAAAACACACAAATAAAATCAAGAAACATCATCAAAACTAAGCTACTATTAATAACTAGCCAATTAGCCCATCATAAGATGGGATTTTCAGGTCTCTCCTCCACGTCAGTCTTCTCTCCTAAGCCTCCGGTCTCTCGCTTCCTCTCTTTCTCTCCTCCTCCTACTACATCCCTCTCTCAGCTCTCCTCCACCTTCTGCCTCTCTCTTTCTCTTCTCCTCCCTCTCCTGCCTCTCACTCTGGGGACCGCGGAGCCCAAACAGCTGTTTGGGCTCTGCACTCCCCATGCTGCATGATGAGTGTGGAGCCCAAACGGTTGCTTGTGCCATTTGCTCCCACGCGGCGGCATGGCTGAGCGGCACAGAAGTCAGCTGAGTGCCATGGTGGGAGGTGAAGGGGGGGTGGGGCGGTGACGTTCAGGGCCAGGGGGTGGGGCTTGGAGCCGCTCGCTGTGGGGGAGTAAGCGGCTGTTTGGGCCTCGCGCTCCCCATGCAACAGAGGCTGCCCAGAGGGAACAGCCAACATTTCAGCAACAGCACCACACAGAGGGAACAGCCAACATTTTAGTGTTACAGACTCTAGGGTATGTCTACACTACAGCACTAATTCGAACTGGCTTAATTCGAATTAGTTTTTAGGTCTAGATGCATTAATTCGAATTAGCTTAGTTCGAATTAGTGCATCTAGACCTAAAAACTAATTCGAATTAGCATTTTGTTAATTTGAAATAGCATGTCCACATTGAGTGGACCCTGAACTGAAGTTAAGGCTGGCTGGAACCTGTGCCAGCAGGGCATCAGGTTAGGACTTAGAGTGTGGAGCTGCTGCCTCAGGCTAGCCAAGGGCTGTGCTTAAAGCGACCCAACCCCCACCCCGGACAGACAGTTCTCAGGGTTCCCCGCTTGCTTGTCTACCTCGATGAGGGACAGTAAAGCAGTCCTGTCTTGGAGTGCCCTGAGTGCCCATACTTGGCACATCACAGCACTCGGCCATCAGCCCGGCTGCACTTGCCGCAGGCTGCCATCTGGGGGAGTCAATCGGGGGGCTGTCAGGATCAAGGAGGCCCTGCAGTAGAGCTTCCACCCCGAGGAGCCCGCAGAGCCACCCCAGTCCTCCCCATCAGGGGCTCGTGCCCCATTCCTCCCTCACCTCCTTCCACTTACCAACTGGGAGGGGGGGGGGGGGGGATTAAGCTCTGGGGAGACTGGGGAAAGGAGGTGGGAGAGGGGAAGAGAGAGGGTGGAAGAGGGGAGGGGGAAACCTGGGAGGAGGGAGCTGGAAGGTGGAAGCCAGGGGAAGAAGGAGGAGGGGAAGTATAAAACTATGGTACGCCATATCTTCAGTACTGTGTACAGATGTGGTCTCCTCACCTCAAAAAAGATATTTTGGCCTTGGAAAGGGTTCAGAAAGGGGTAACTAAAATGATTAGGGGTTTGGAACGGGTCCCATATGAAGAGAGGCTAAAGAGACTGGGACTTTTCAGCTTAGAAAAGAGGAGACTGAGGGGGATATGACAGAGGTCTATAAAATCATGAGTGGTGTGGAGAGGGTGAATATAGAAAAGTTCTTTACTTGTTCCCATAATATAAGAACTAGAGGACACCAAATGAAATTAATGGGTAGCAGGCTTAAACCTAATACAAGAAAGGTCTTCACACAGCGCACAGTCAACCTGTGGAACTCCTTGCCAGAGGATGCTGTGAAGGCTAGGACTAGAACAGAGTTT